CTCCCTCCCTCCCTCCCTCCCTCTTTCTTTTCAGGTACCAGGGATTGAACTCGGGATCCTGCGCTTGCCAGGCAAGTGCTTATTTGCTTATTCTACTGAGCTATCTCCCTGGCCCTTTTGTCTTTTTTTGTTTGTTTGTTTGTTTTTCAGTCCGAAGAGTTTCAGAAAATAATAGATGCTGGGTAAGATGTAGAGAAGAGGAGAGGAAGCTCCAGGCACTGCTTGTTTCAGCCACTATGGAAAACAGCATGGAAGTTTCTTTAAAAATAGACCCTTGGGGGGTTGGGAAGACGGCTCAGTAGGATAAGTGTTTGCCTGGCAAGTAGAAGGACCTGAGTTCAATCCCTGGTTCTGCCACAAAAAATAAATAAATAAATAAATAAATAAAAATTTTTAAAAAGCGCAAAGACTCGGAATTTCATTCTATATTACTAGAGGGGAGGAAAAAAAACCCCGAAAAATAGAGAAAAGAAAAAAAAAAAAAAAAGAAATGTAAAGAGCGGGTGAAGGGGCGGGCGGTTTGCAAGGTTATAGCTGCAGGCGCTGGACTGGGGGCCCCGGTTCCTGCACCTGCGCCCTGCTCCCTGTCGCCCCGGGGCTGGCGGTGCTGGCTCTGGGTGCATAAGAATAACCCGGGCTGGCCCCGCCTCCGCTGGGGGAGCGAGGAGCCCACCCAGCCTGCGGAACAGCACTTGAGCCCCTGGCCCGCACCCTTTGTCCTCGGGGAAGGGACCTGGAGCTTTTTATCGCCACACCTGAGGTGCAGGTAGAGAACTGCCCTGAGCCAGGCGCCACAGCAAGGGGGCACACTGTAGAAGCCACTGAGAGGATTGAAAATTCCAGTCCAGCCTGGTAATTAGGCAATTTACTTTTTTTTTTTCTTTTTTAGCGGAACCTGGGATTGAACTCAGGCCCTTGCACTTGCCAGGGAAGTGCTTATTCCACTGAGTCATCTCCCCAGCCCCTAATTAGGCAATTTAGTGAGACCCCGCCCATGTCATAAAAAGGGCTGGGGATGTAGCTCGGTGCAAAGGCTCTGTTGTTTGCAAAAAGCAAGTAGTGAAGCTGCTGTGTGTGTTCTCCGGCAAGCACTGCTCGGGCCAGGGCCTGCTGAGCTGCCGTCTGAAGGCGCTTGGGCCCTTGCCTGGGTCACCCCATTCATAACTGGTATGCTTGGTTTAAGGTTCACCAAGTGACAACATTTATTAAATGTCAGTATATACATACACACAAATATTACAATTCTAAAACAAAAATTACAATTTTATACAAGTCCAGTGCTATCTAAAATGTTTAATACTACTACTGACTTTGTTGTGGGGCAAGGAGTCTACTCTCAGCCCTGAGGAGGCTGAGGCAGGACAATTGCTGAATGCAAGGCCATCCTGGGCTACATATCGAGACCCTCATCTCAAAAAATGGGGTGGGGATGGGGTACTGCTCAGGGTTAGAATAACTTCCTAGCATGGGGGAGGCCACAGAGTTTGATCACAACCCTGCAAACAAAATAAACATGAAAGGAAGGACAGGCTGGTGTACCCCAAAGGCTGAGGCCAGATGATCACAAGTTCAGGCCCAGCCTGAGCAACTCAGAAAGTTAGTGAGACCCTATCTCAAAATTAAAAATTTGTTAACAGGGTAGATGATGTCCCTCAGTGCAAAAGCCAAGTTCAGTC